GAATCCCATTAGTGGGTTTGATTGCTGCCTCTAAGACTGGCAAGGAGAGTGCTGCAGGAACTACAGAAAGGAACAAAAATAAATAAGGGTTGACGGGGAAAAATGCAATAGGGACTGGAGACACAAACAAATGGAAAATATATTTTATTTTATGGAGGCATCTCTCATTCCAGGCCAACTCCTCTTCCTATTGCACATTAGTGGAGAAACTAGTGTTCTTGTCTGCTTGGGCAAATACAATACTTGTGGTCAGGGTAAGAAAAAATCTTGGGGCTTTCTAGCAATAAAGGACTGATATGAGCAGGTGGCTTTCTTGTTGGAATGGGACGATGCTCAGCCTTCTGTACTCAGGGGAGTGATGTGTACCTGTGAATGCATTTATCCATGTATGCATTGGTGCTAAAAGCTTAAAATGGACGAGAAAGTAACAGGAATGTTGAAAATTACACATTTAGATAAACAAATTAAACATGCCATAAAATAAACTGTGACTCCTTGAGACTTTTTTCATTCTACTCATTAAATAAGTCATGTTGTTGAGAGGTAGATAGTCTTGTCTTTTTTTGAATGAAAGACTGAACGATGCAATATAACACATTTCAGTGTTTAGATTTTACATTGTCTGTGTTTGGTCTCTATTATTAGATCAACCATGGTGTTTTCAATGTATTATTCTAAAGATATTTAAAAGAAAAAAAAAACAAGAGAAAAAGAGGGTGGTTTAATTTTTTTTTTCAGTGTCTGTATATACAGTTGTGTTGAAAATAAAATTACAGTAGTCCCCGATAACCAGCTGGATAAATCACTGTTTTTGTTACACTTTAATCTTCTACACTGCTGGTAAGATTCCAGAAGGTTCATTAAAGGTAGGAAACCAACAGACCCAACAGGAATGATGTGCACGTTACTTATTCTGTAAAACTGTACCATTTACAGAAGGGTCAGTTAGTGAGGCCATTGACGGTGTGACAAAAAATAGGTGTGAAACGGAAAAAATGATTTAAGGATGAAGGCAACTGACACTGCATATGCTGTCTGTGAATTTATCCCTCAAACACAGAGTGAAACTGTTCTTTTTAAGAAAATAATTCTTTTTAAGAAAATTAATAAAAGAGGGGAAAGTGTTTGAGCTGTTCAGCTCAAATGTTATCAGCAGCCAAAGCCAGAAAGGTGAGGAAGGAAAAGAAAACTATTGGAATGGATTAAAGAATAAACAAGATAGCAATGGCTCTGGCAACAATTAGCTCCAGGAGGATAAAAAAGATCTAAGGTTGTCTGTATGTACTATAACAGTCAGATGTGATGCCAAGCTACCTGCAAAAAGGCCTGGCAAAGTCCCATGTAAAACAAAAGTACTGAAGCATTTAAAATTTACTATGTTTATATGGACACATATAATCAGACTGACAGCTTGATCAGATCAAATATGTTTCATGTAAACATTTGAGACTGAATATTATAATCTGATTTGGTTTGATTGGAAAGAAATTTAATCATGATTTAGAAGGGTAGGGTTTTTTCTGATCGGCATTCCAACTAGCGTCCATGTACACACCCATTAGGATCTTTAGAGTAAAATCCATCTCCTTTGCACATGTGTGGAACATCAGCTTGACATTTTTCTTCTTTCTACCACTCATTCACTGGCTACTGGTCCTCCTTTGTGGAGAAGGTGGCTCTAAATTCAATGCTGCTGAACCTGCCATCCTGCCCTCTACCCCTGTACCAAAGGAGCGTTAGCATGAGGTACTGCTGAGCCCTGAAAAAAATGACCACCAAAAACAAAAGTAGACAGTTATGTGCAGGTTTCGAAAGATTTATTTTGATTGAAAGCTTGTTACATGTGCACGCGTCATGATTGTATCAATTTATATAGTGTCCATGTAAACGGAGATTTGATCGAGAGATTAGAGAAGTTTTGCACATGGAAACGTGGATATTAATTGGCCTAAAAAGCAATGACGTAATATTTGTGTAGTGATGAGAGTACCATTGTATCTTTTGGGGTCTAAGAGGCACAGAAAGTTTGTCAGATGTCCTGCAAACACTGAATCCAAGCCACAGTAGACAATAAAGAGGGTGATGCATTGGTAGTGCAAGCCAATGATATGGGGATGTTTCTATTTATCAAAAACCAAGGATCATGGATCAGTTTGAGTACATCAAAATACTGGAAGAAGTCATAAAGAGTAAATGCTCTGTTCACACTAGCAAGCGAACAAAATCATCTAGAGAGGGACAGAATTTAAGTAAGGGAGCAGCCAGCACAATCCCCAGACCATATTCCCATTGAAAACTTGTGTGCTGACAATGATATTCAAAAAGCAAAAACAAGAAATGCAAAGGAATTGTGAAACGTTGTGGAATTGTCATGCACTGCAATACCTTTTTCATTTTTTCAATGTATTGATTTGAAATAGAATGTGCAGTGTTCCCAATTAATTTGTGCTCATTGAAATACAATTCCTTTAAATAACTTTGAGGGTAACTCATCTTTTAAACACACGGATATTATTATGAGCATAACTGTACATATAAACAATGCAGTAAAAGGATTCATGTATGCATACAAGTATAAACACAACAGCTTTCCTTCACAGTTCTCTGTAGCAGGTCTGCATCCAGAGACCTGAGGCAGGGGGAACAACTGATATTTCAGTATTACAACCTAAATTACACAATCAAGATCACAAAAGAGAGTTTTCAGAGCCAATCTGTAAATAATCTAAGCTGGTTGAGCCAGAGTCCAGACTTTAATATGCCTGAATGTCTGTAGAGATTCAAAAATGCACAGACATCTGCCATCCAGCCAGATGGAGTTTGAGATGTTCTGCCCAAATCTTATCATAGTTATTTATAGACGTAACATGAAAGTGGAGTATTTAAAATATGTGCCTTTATTTACACTAGAACCTCAACCTGGACACAGCTCAAGCAGTTCTTTCCATTTTGTTTACTGCCACTGGCAGTCAGGACCTAATGAAACAGGAATCATGTCGCGGCAAGCATAGACGTTTGCCAGCTGACCCAAATCAGACCAGATGACAAGCTTTGGAGCAAACATAAGACCACATCTGAAAAATAAACTGGTAAAGTGGGTTGGAACTTGAATTGTCTATCTTACCAACTGGCTTAAGGACAAAAAGTAGCCTGGGTTGTGTACGGTATGTTTTAATTGGAGTAAATCCAATAAATCCAGGAAATGTTGAACAGCAAATGTTAAGCTCTGAAAGGAAATGCTGTGTGCACAGTTCTACAGTCTTTTACCAGTTTTAGAAATAGAACTTTCACTTCTGTTAAAAGCAAAGGTTAAACTTTTCATGACAGTATTGAATGGTTTGCTATATAGGTTTTTCATTTTGTCTATAAATGGCTTACAATTAGAAATTGTAACAACCACTAATAATCATTATTAAATAGCCTCTTCTAATGGGACAATATTAGAGATAAGAAACATTAATATAGTATTAAGTAGTGAGTGTAGAGGTTGCACAACAATTTATACTACTCTGATAGTCTAAACCCTAAAAATGATCAGAGAAGAAGATGGATAATTGCAAAAAAAGAAAAAAAGAAAAGAAAAGAACAGAAATCAGGGCAAGCAGTTTAATATCAATATTCACTGAAACCCCTGAAGCTTGAAGGGTGAATCCAAAATGCTTTAGTATTGAATTTTGTGGGAACAACAGTCCATCTCTGTCATATCCTCTTTTGGAAGCAGATATCATTTCAATATCTTGTAATTTCAAGGAACGCATATCATGCCCAACTAGATTAAAGTCTCAAGCCACAAAGAAACAAATACAAATACAACTTCTGTGTTAGGAAATCCAGATTTTAACTTATGTTTACCTTTACTAATATACATCAAGGATACTTAAATAAAATAACAAATATGTAACTTTAGAACTCTGTTCAAGTACTTCTTCAAAATTAGGCTCACGTTATATTAGGTACAAATAGTGTGCTGCTTAAACATTTTCGGATGTTCTCCTGAACTGTACACTCATTATTTTTCTCTTGTATTGGGCAGACCGACTTTTCTGTTTGAGATATATTTGGAAACAGACTCTTTTCCCTATCTAGGTATTTCCTGACAGAAATTGGCAGTGCTGTATTTTATTTACCTAGGTAAAGGGTGAGATTACAGCTGCATGCATATTTTTAAATAAATAAAAGAGAGAATCTTTTACCCACCACCTTTCTAATCTGCTCTATTTTTGGACCAGTATGCTGGGGAAATAATATTTTGCAAAACAAAAATAAATGTACAACTGGCTTGTATTTAAGTTTAAGAAATGTTAACCAAAATGAGAATCTGCTGTAAAAACAGGTAAATATAGATTATGGCTAGAAGCCGTGGCCAAAAACGTACATTATAATGTGTTTCTTCATTTTAGTCAATGCATTTATAGCTGAACAGAGACGTTTGCATTTCTAATCAGTTTTCTGCTACAGTTGAGCATTTTGTGTTTTGTCTCCAGCAACGTGTTTATAAAGCTGTCAGTTGATGACAGACATGGACGTTGGGCATAGAGTTAGAATTCAACTCTTTAAGAGAACGCTGCTGTGCACCACAGCTGTTAGGCTGAAGATCCTTTGCTAACGTTACCAGTCTCCACTAGGAGGAAAACAGTAATGAGAGTAGTTTACATGCATGTTATTAAAATAAAACTGATTGTATAAGTATTTATTACGAGTGTGCAATCTCAGCAAAATTATAACTTCATTAATATTTATATGGACATAAAAAAAAGGCCTTAGAAACGTTGCCCAGAGAACCCACAAGAGAATCCTGTGCAAACTTGTGACCATCGGGTTTCTGAAACTCAGAATATCTTAGCAGTATCTGCTATAAAAACAAAACGCATAACACTATATAAAACCTAGAAATTCAGTCAGTGAAAAACTTCATAAGCACTGTCTATCCCCATTATAGATATTGGGTTAATACAGGTAAAAAATACGTATAGGAATTATAATCTTGTGGTGGAAGTTACCATCTTCGATGGGGCAAGTATCAGGATGACATAGCGGACCTCGCAGCAATTCTCTCCCCAGTTTTGCGGCCTTTCCAGACGGGAGATGCACACGTGACGTCTCTGGAGGTGCTTGACGTTGCAGCTAGAAAGAGTAGAAGGAGAGGGAGATTTTACAAATGTCAATGTCTCAGCCCACTAGCAGTGCCCTTCATTTCCATAGATTAACCTCTTCTCTGAAGAAACGGACAGCATTTAAATTCTCTGCCTGGACTTGTGCTCATTTAAGAAAGCTAAACTTTTTGATAAGGCACCTTTAAGAGGTTAAACATACATATAAAATAAAGCATTCACAAAAAATGTGAACAAAGGGTAAAAAAAAATAAAAAATACCAACTCAGAAATCATTCACTAACCAAACCAAAAAACAGAGCAGGGAAAATCACAACCAAGCTGGTCTGATGAAAATCAGACTAAACTCTAGTTAAAGCCAAATGTGAAAAGACAAAATAGACTCCACAGTTTGAATATCAAGGGATAGTTTCCCCTAGAGAAAGGGGGCTGCCACGGGAAAACTCTGATCCCCTTTGAACGATCAGCACAAAGAGCATCAGGTTAGAAAATCTCAGTGCTCTTTTGGGTTAAAAAAACGTAAGGAGAGCAGTTACATAATTTTTGCCAAACCATTTGAAATGCTAAAAGCGGGTAAAAGAATCTTAAAGTCAAAACAAATATGATCAGGAAGCCTGTCTAAATCAGTGTACTGTATGTGGTCAGGCCTTCTGTGCAGGAGCCTGCTGGGCTAAATGCAGGGAAAACAGAGACAATTGATTCAGACCTAAATTTAAGCAGTAATCTAAGGTAGAGGTAATGAAGGCAAGAAGGATTCTTGACAACATGCTTTCATAAAAAAAGCAGTTTAACACACAGACTGAAGATGAGCAATGTGGAGCAAAAGGGACCAAGGACATCAGCTCATATACTAAGAGAGGTATGATTACTTAACACAAGACATTGTAGATACAGATTTAAACATATTATGGCATAAACAGCATGATGAGGAAAGGAAATACTCCCTAAATATAGAACCTGCAGGACAAATGTTTAAAGAAAACAGAAAAGGACCCAGGATAGATTCTTGAGGTGCTCTTCATTAGCAGGGTATAAATATTCCCCAATATACAGATAATATCTAAACAAAGACAGAGATGAATGTTTAGGACCAACAATTTGGCAACAGAAAAGAGCAACATATATATATACATACATACATACATACATACACATATATATATACACATATATGTTTATAAATAAA